GGGGGGGGGGAAGGGCAGCAGGTAAATGGGAATATTTACATCAAGAAAGTCCGGAAAGAGGTATAAGAAACCAAGAAGAATGGTTATGTACAGACGCTGGGGGTAGAAGCTGAGGTCAGGTTCAAAGATTAGAGGCTTTTCACTATATATACCTTTTTACATTTTGGTTTTTGAACCAAATGTATCACTATATTATCTATTCAAAAAATAAAATAAATTTTAAAAGGAAAAAGGGTAGAGTTTCTAATAGACTTGCTTTTGAATATGCAGTGTACTTTTTTCACTTAATACATCACCAGTACCTTTCATCCTTTTATAGGACTACATAATACTCCATCGTATGGAGTTACCATCATTTAATGAGTTCCATACCAACATTTAATGTTTCCACTCTTACACTGCCAAACAATGCTGCGATAAACTCCTTTGCAGATACTTACTTGCCTACTGACCTCAAAAAGCTACTAAGAGTGGAACTGCGGGATCAAGTGTAAACACATTCTACACTTGGATACATACTGTCAGACTACCCTACGGAAAGAACGTTTCTATCAATTTACAGTCCAGCTAACAGTGAGTGTCCAAGTGCCTGTTTCCCACACATATCCCTCCCTGTCACCACCCAGTGTCCTTTCTTCTCTTTGTTGAACTGTTATCTTTTTTTTTTTTTTAATGTTTATTTATTTGAGACAGAGAGAGAGAGAGAGAGAGAGCGAGAACACACGAACAGGAGCAGGGGAGGGGCAGAAAGGCAGGGAGACACAGAATCCGAAGCAGGCTCCAGGCTCCAAGCTGTTGGCACAGAGCCTCCTGACGCCGGGCTGGAACCCACGAAATGGGAGATCATGACCTGAGCCAGAGTCGGACGCTTAACCAACTGAGCCACGTAGGCGCCCCAATCTGTTATCATCCTACTTTAAGTTTGTATTTCTTTAATTAATAGTGAAGTTCCTTTTTTATTGGCCACTTAAATTTCTTTTCATGAACTTCTTCTTTTACATCCTTGACTTATTTTTGCCTATTGAACTGTTAGTCGTCGTCTTATACATTTGTTTGTAATCTTAATATATATTAATATATAACAGGGTTTTTTTAGACATTTTTTGTAGCTTACAAATATTCTGGCTACTTTGTCAAATTTGTTTATGGTGTCTTTTACCATACAGAATATTCCATTTTATGAATCAAATTTGTCAATATTTTCCTTTATGGTTTCTGCATTTAGTGCCAAGCTTGGCTAGGCCTCTTACATCCCAAGATCATAAAAATATTCTGTGACTATTCTACGCAGAATAGTCTCTACACAGAGAAATCGAAAGTAATTTTTTCCTATTAAGAAGGAATTTAGGGGAGCCTGGGCGACTCAGTCAATTAAAACAGTCAACTCTTAATTTAGGCTCAGGTCATGATCTCGCGGTTCATGAGTTCGAGCCCCACATCAGGCTCCTGCTGACAGTGTGGAGCCTGCTTGAGATTCTAGGTCTCTGTCTCTCTCTGCCCCTCCCCCATTTGCACAGTCTCTCTCCCTCTCTCAAAATAAATAAACTTAAAAAAAAAAAAAAAGAAAGAAGGAATTTAGAATAGAGGGCTTCAGAAACTAGAAAGGCATATGAACATAATGGGGATGGCTGTACGGGTCACTACCATTTCCGCTGTGTTCGCTACAGGGCTCTGGTCCATCCCCACTATGCCTCAGACGGAAGTCGTGAGGCTCTTCTCTGCTGCGCCTTCTTGCCCACAGTGAGGGGTCAACATCATCAGACTTGGGGGAAGCCAACCGGGATGCCTCTCCGGAGGGTCTTCCGAGGAGAGGGAAGCTCCTTTCTTCTGGTAGTAAAGCTACAAGGACACGAACCCGGCAGTGGCAGCAGCCACGCTCCGAGCTGGCAAAAGAAGCCGGTGTGCGGGATCTAAGCCGACACACACAGAGGAGAGAAATGAAAGATGGACGAGAAGCGCGATGGCGTCCAAGTTCCCAGTGCCAGTTGTCTCCACGGTCAGCCTCACCCCTACCCTTCCCCATCGCCTGGTTCCAAGTGTCCGAAGAATCCCCTTTCTACGTACACTGATCTGAGTTAAGATTCTATTACTTGAAATCGATTCATGGGTGTTAAGACTCCAGGATGGTAAAGGCCCTAGAGAATTCTCTCAGGGCTTCCCTTAAGTGTAAAGGAAAGCCTATTATCGAGTAAGCAAAGATAGGAGAAGATCTTTCCATTTACGGATACGTGCACTTAGGTTACTTAGGTTATCCCCAGGATATCCCAATCCTTTTAAATTTTACTATTTTACTTTTAAATTTCACTATTTTGGTCAAAGCAAGTGTATTATTATTTACAAAAATTGAAGGTAGATACTACGTGTTAGCCTTTGAGTGTTGCAAAAACCACCAATACTAAAATTTACCAACTTTACAAATGTTTCATATGAAATGCACCAGCTGTGTCATGTCTCACCTGACTTTTCCCTTCAGTCACGCATGCCTCCAGCAGCACAATCCACTGCGGGGTGCGTACGGCCCCACGCCCACACCACTGGGCGCAGCACCACGAGGGGCAGGAATGGCCCTTCACAGAGAGAAGAGCCTCTCCCAAGTGGTCTCAGAAATCCCTGACTCTTGAATTGCTAGTATTTCTGTTCTACAACAAGAAGTCAATCGATCTCTAACCAAACCTCTATCTTAGGATGAAAAATCAATCCAATTAGCATATCCAAATAAACCCCTCCTCCCCAAACACAGGACATCCCCGGAAAGACGGCAGCATTCTACTCAGCAAGGCAAGCTGCGTCAAGAACTAGGAGAGAAGCCTCTCGACCCAAGGGAAGGCCAGGAGCTCCGTGGGAGAGTTCCACTTCAATGATCGGAGGCGACCAGTTTATTCCTACACCAGATCTAGGGTCCAGAAGGAAAGGACTCAGCTTGCGCAGGCATGCAGTGGGCCCGACCACTACATACAATTCGGCTTCCCCAGAGAGCAGAAAAAGAAAGAAGCAAGCAGACGAGACAGGCAACCCAAGTATTTGGAAAACATGACGCCGGATGCAAGGCCTTACCTACGGAAGGCTGGAGCCGCGACGGAGCTGGTAGGGAGATATTTGGTACTGAAAGTGTGAAAACTTCTGCTGGGGACTGGACAGACGGAGTGTCTTCTGCTGGTGGTGTGAAATCTATCTCATCATCAAAATTATCTTCAAATTCCTAAAATAAGAGACGATCAATGTTATATCTTATATAAACCAACGTGAGAACAAATATTAAGAATACATATGCTAACATCGGACATGAGAACATTGACTCACTCACTCATTTGAAACATGCCGCCTTGGGTTTTTTTCCCCCAATTTGCACCTACTTGAGTAAAAAGCATATGTAATTGTGCTCTCCAACACCAAACGGCAGAATAAATAAGGTTTAATAAGTTATACATACTTTGTATTAAACTTTTTCAACTGAAAGCTTGAAGTTAAATGCAAAATTGTCTAAAATGACCACGGAACTTCAAGTGGAAACACTCTTCTGGTCTGAAATTTTGCTTTTAAGTTACCAGAGCTTAGGCTATTCTTTTTTCTTTATTATTCATTTTCACAGATCCCTTTGCACACGGAATCAAAACAGATTCGTTTTATTATAAAACTACATGCTCATTTCTAATTGCATTAGAATTGTATTCTGCTATGATTTCAATCAAAATAGGGACAGTTAAAGACCCAAAAACGGTATTTTTGAGGAAGTCCTGTTTCTCTGCAAAGAGTAACGATGGGAAAATTACTAAGTTGTGTAGAAAAACCATCAGGACGTGAACGACGGTCAGTATGACACTGTGTAGCACATAAGTACCTTCGACACACTAAGAACATCTGGTTTTCTGAAGATGGCAACTTTAAAACCGAGGCTACGCCCATACAGGTGTGAAAATCTTTTCAGTGACTCAGTCAGCAGAGAGCTGTCCTGACTCTTGCTGTTATCATTCCAGTGAGCCCAGTCCACCCTGGTGTCCATGTTAATTCCACGTTCATACAGATGACAATCAAGGTCATTCCCTCAGATAATTAATGAATATCACCCCACCAAGCACTGCAACAGAAGCTGAGAATAATCTGCGAACAAGACCGTTGTCCTTTCCTCTAGAGAATATCCTTCTTTTCCTTTTCCTTTTCTGCCACCTCCCCTTGCTACCCCCACTAAGCCCCGGGAAGTTATAAGGGTCGATCTGTCTGATGGGACATGTATGATCTCACACGCGTGTGGGAGGACACTATTCTCACATATGTCACCTATGCTGTCAAATGCATTAGGACGTTACCGCTGTTTTTAACGGGAGGGCGTAGGACCAGCGAGGTGCTGAAACTTCAATCTCTGAGGCACCTCTCAATGGAAGAGCTTTGCTCAATTTCCCCTCTGGACATTCCTAAAGCTTCTCTCGTTAAAAAAGACTTTTTATCCATCGCATCTACTTAAAAACAATGCCACTCAAAAGTCTGGCAGCAGCATGATAGACCATTAGGCAGCCGATGATTCTAGAGACACAGAGAGGTAAAACAGCGTAATAATAAAAATGAGGCTGGTGAGAAGACTGGGTCGCTTTTCTAGTTATGCCAGCAGCTGCCCAGATGCACTCAGGAAGTCGCTTCCTTTATCAGGCAGTAGCCTCCTGGTCTGTAGCGTGACTTCCAAGGGTCGAAGGTCTCTAACGCTGCAGTTCTAAATCTAAAGGCGTGGACACTTGTCTTCAGTCGTGGCTTACACAGCTGGAGAGGATCCTGTACACACTGTGGCCCAGGGCCGCCTGTACCAGAACCACCTGGGGAAGCAGATAAAAACACTGCTTCGCAGAATCTACACCATAATGAACTCCCTGGGTCAATACTGAGACCCAGTTGGGTCAGAAAAATCTAAGGCAAGAATGAGGCATTGTGACACGTGAGAGTGACTGGATTTTAGTTTCAGCAACACTGATCAGACTTTATCTTTGTCCCCAAAAGACAAGGCGTCTGTACACAGTCCCTCGGCAAGAATGATGGTCAAGGGACAGGTTCTCTGCCCACCACTGTGCACCTCCGCCCCCAACCATGTGGTAGTCGGTAAGTTCCCACGGAGGTGTCTATAGTGATTCCAGGACCTGGGGGCTAAAGCTGGGGATTACTGAAGCCCACACGTTTGGGGTAGAATCTTCTAAGAAAAATGGCCCGTGCTAGTCTTTTCCTGCAGCCTTCCTGGTGTGTAATGTTAGCATCAAACCAAAAGGATAACACGTCTCCTCCTCTCTCGGGGCTGCCACCAGACTCAAGGTAAAGAAAACACAGAAACAGGGGTGAGGCTCTAGAAATAAGGCTGATGTGTCCACTAGCAGGAAGGTTTTAGCTAGAAGACAGCCCCCCCCCCCCGCCCCCAATTTGAACCAGTGGCCCTCAGGGCCCCTGGGGACAGCTCCAGGACAACCAGCAGGGCTCCACAGAAAGATCATTTTCTCTCATGCATTCCTTTTGTTTCTCAAGTCTTCCTCTTTATCAAGTATTCCCCAGGCCCTAATGTACACCAGCAGGCACGTGGTAAGTTCCAGAGCGGGATATCCCAGCTGGTTTCTGGCAGATTCCACCCATCTGCAGCTACAACACCAGCCCTTCTATAGTGTCTCCCCACCCCCCGCCACACACACACCACCCCCCCCCCCACCAGAATTTCTATGGTAGGATTCTTCTTTCTTCCCCTCAAAGAACTCGAGGGTTCAGGTAAAATGAAAGATGCGGTTTCTCATACACAAAACACACTGGGGCGTCCTTTGGCCTCAATAATCTTAACCACCACAAACTCACCAGCATGCTAAAGTTCAGGGGGAAAAAAAAAATCAGCCTGCTCTTCCTTATAGGCTTTATAGCTAGTGAATTCAATCATACTTTATTCCTCACCTAGCGAAAATTAAACAGGCAAGTGGTTATTGTCAATGATGCTCTAAAGCAGGGTCAGCAAACTACAGCTGCTGGACCAAATCCAAACCACTTATTTTTGTAAATAAAGTTTTACTGGCACACAGCCACAACCGTTTGGTTTCACCTTTCATATGTGTATCAATGTAGCACTACAATGGCAGAGCTGAGAGCTGAGGAGCCTTGACAGAGGCTGTATGGTCCACAGTATTTACTATTTACAATGGCAGGATATATTTACTATACAGCCCTTACAGAAAAAATTGGCCAGCCCCTGCTCCCAAGGGACTCCAATGATCAAGGTATCAGCAGATGATTTTTAAATGTCCCCACCATCTGTGCTCACCTTGAAGTCTATTTCCGGGTCCTTACAGCAGGATACACAGTTTGCAATTAACACTATTAATATCATTAAACTGCACACAGACAGGATCACAAAAGAGGAGGAAACTTCTGCAGCAGGTGCCTCCCCTGGAAAGAGAAATAACTAATATTAACAAGACGGACATTCCAAGATCAACTTTACTTTGCAAACTTTACTTTGCAACTTTACTTTGCAAATCAACTTTACTTTACATATTTTCCACCCAATATAAATGGGACCAAGAGTTAATAAAATAATGCCTAGATGCTCAAGATAAGGGGGATGATCAATCCAGGATAAGGAGTCAGGGTTTTTTTTTTTTTTTTTTTTTTAATTTTTTTTCAATGTTTATTTATTTTTTTTGGGACAGAGAGAGACAGAGCATGAACGGGGGAGGGGCAGAGAGAGAGGGAGACACAGAATCGGAAACAGGCTCCAGGCTCCGAGCCATCAGCCCAGAGCCTGACGCGGGGCTCGAACTCACGGACCGCGAGATCGTGACCTGGCTGAAGTCGGACGCTTAACCGACTGCGCCACCCAGGCGCCCCAGGAGTCAGGGTTTTAAAAAAAAAAAAAAAAAAAAAAAAAAAAACTGAATATGGAAATAACCTTAGATTTACGGAAGAGCTGCAGAGACCCTCTGAGCCCCACCACACACCCTTCACCCAGCTTCCTCGGACATCAACACCTTGTGCCCCACAGCAGTCACCAAAGCGAAGCCGGTAACCCGGGGCCATACTACTAACTGAACTTTCAGCTTCATCCAGGTTTCACAGCTTCTGCCGTTTCCTCTTTTTTTCCAGGCTCCAGCCCAGGCTCCCAGGGCTGTGCTTACTCATCTCACCCCCTCCGTCGTTCCTCAGTCTTCCCCCGGGTGTCATAGCCTGGACACCAGGGAAGAGCGTCGGTCAGCATTTTGTACAACGTTCCTCAGGCCGGGTGGCCTGATCCCTTCTGCCTGACCGACTAGACTGAGGTCACGGATACGTGGGAAGAATCTAGAATATCACAGGGCACACCGCCCTTCTCGTCACATCACGTCACGAGCACACAGCACCGGCACAACTTGCTCCCAGTGACATGAACCCTCATCAAGCCACTTGGCCCACGTGGCTTCTGCCAGGTGTCACCACTGAGAAGTTACCACTTTCCCCCTTTACATATTCCTTAAAAGCGGGTCACAAAGTCCACGGCACACTCACAGAGAAGAGGATTTAAGCTGTGCTCCTTGAAGGGAGGAACACTATAGAACCTACAGACATATGTCACCACTACCAAGGTAATTAATATTTGGAGACACTTTGAGGCTGTGCAAACATCCTGTGTCTCCCTGAAGTTTTACACACTCATTTTCACATTTGCCATTGCGTCTTAACCTGCAGCAATCACCATTACAATGTTCTAATGGGTGATCGTCTATGGCCCTCATTCCTTCTACATTTACTACGTGGGATTCTTCCATAAGGAAGATGGGTCTCTGCTCCCTTAATTATTTGTCTGGTCCTTTATTTAGTTACGGACTCACAGATATTTATTTTCTATTCTTTGGGTTATAATCCATCATTAACATTATTTCATAGCTTGAAACATTGCAGCTTTGGCCCCTGGCAGCTTTTTCAAGTTGACTACTGGGTCTTTTGACATGCCCCATCTTTTCTCCAACACCTCCTCATGGAAAGCTCCAGGCTTTTCTTCTATTTTCCCTACTCTCCAGCTTTAGAATCAGCCACTTCTCCAAGGAGCCTTGGTCATAATAAGAGCTTTCTACTAGAGCAGAGGTCTGCAAACTACAGCCTGGGGCCTGTTTTTTGCATGGGGGGTGGGGGGGGTGGGGAGAATTCCAGCGTAGAATGACTTTTACATCTTTAAAGGAGTGTTTTTCAAAACAAAACAAAATGCAACTTTACTTTCGGCCAAGAATTATCTGGAAAACATCCTATTCAACCAGAGCTATTCTGAAGCTCTTCTTTTGCCCAGTGGTGTTTGAATAAGAAATAAACTACCCCCGCTCTGCCCACTTTGTGGAGCTATAACTGACATACAACACGTAAGTTCAATGTCCCAGTGCACCGAGGGGAAAGCAGGGACACAAGTTAAGGAACAATGTCACCATTTTCCTGAAGTGAACCTGGAGCACCTGAAGAAAACAAAAACTAACCCAAACTCCTATGTGAGCAAAACACATTCTTGAATATAAAAATGACCTCTGCGAAGAGCAGAGGAGTCTGAAATCAACTGCAAACAGAACCCAATGCCTTGCCAATAACAAGAGGTCCCTCTGTGAAGGGACAAGGCTGAAGCCCACATTGTTCCACGTGGGGCTCAGGCTGGCTGAAGCCTTGCTCAAGTCTGCACTTAAAAATCACAGTTAACCAAAGATTGCTAAGGATCTGCAAGTTCTAAACCAATAAAAATCTAAAAGAGGAAAATCCACACTTCAGACACGGAAAGTAAATTGGAGATTCCTCTCGAAGTCCAGTGTCACAAAGGGCAAGAACTCCCTAAGCAGACACCTGTGTGCGTGTGGACAGCTAAGTGCGGGGCAGACCCCGAGAGCCAGCTCTCTGTGAACGGCGACCTGGAAGGAGGGGACTTCCTCTCTCTCTCTCCTGGCAGCTACCTGCTCTCTCATCCCGCCGGGCCTCGGCTTCCCACTGGTATTTATTCTTCTTACAACCTTGTTGCACTCCCCTGACTCATATAATAACGATTAAATATGACTCCTGAGACTTATACAGCAAAGCACTTTCATATACACTGCATCTTATTGATTTTTTTTTTAAGATGCAGTTTTTGTCCAACCACATCTTAACATGGGGCATCTTGCACAGGAAAGCAAGCTGGTGTACACCGGCATTTCTTGTTTCTTAATGGCATAAAAATAAGGGTGTGTCATAACCCAACGTTATCTGAGATTTGATGACATATAACACAATTCCACTCAATCGTCACAACATCTCTGAGGGAATTCCATCAGCTCCACATCGTACACGAGGACAATGACAAGGCCAAAACACTCAGTGGGAAAGCGGCAGGGCCAGACTCTGGGTTCAGGGGTGCTGAGAATAAGTCCCCCTTGCTTCCCTGGCTACCACATTGTTTTGCCTCAAGGAGGCTGACTTTTAATTCTTGAAAACAGCCTAACCTAAGTACTGTGAACCAAAGTCCATCGTTGCTGATTAAAAGTTCATACTTCTGGGACTCTCCTCCAAACTCCCCAAGTGGATATTAGTTTTTTCCTCTTTTTTCACCCACAATTTTTTATGATCACATACCATCTATTTATTGTACAATGTGATCACAACTGCCTGAAGGCCAGCTCAATTATCTGATTCACAAAACTGTCTTCTGTGAGTCACCAGGTAGGCATGAAAAGCCAGACTCCTGCTAAAAATAGCTAGTTACGAGTTTTGCCCTACCTCAATAATGATAACGTACTTATTTCTGCTAAGACACTGCAGGGGTGTCTGCTCCCCAGTACTCAGATTTCTTCCATTTACGTGAGGTCTATTCAACTGCAGTGTCCACCAGAGCCACGGAAAGGCCTCTACAAATTACTGCTCAAGAGGAAATGTTTGCAGCTGTACCACTTTTAAAAAGTACTTTATTTACTGAATTTTTAATTAGTCCAAAGAATTGTGCTAAAAACAAAACAAAACAAAAAAAACCTCTACATACCAACGAAGGAAACACTTCCATAAAATGAAGAAATCAAACCAACCTGTGACAGGCTGGAAGGTGAGGTGGGTTTGCACAAACCACAGAGAGGAAGTAAATTCTGGTTGTGGGGAACTACGACTAAAATCCCCGAGCCCCAGCGGTTCAAACTACAAACTGAGCCCCGGAAGGTTCCTGATTGCAACTGCTGTATTAGGAAACTACGAAGAAAGATGGCTTTCCTTCAATAGTCCAGGCCTGCAGCGTTCAGAAATGCATAAAGCAAACCGATATCCTACTACAGCAAATCGATAACCACAGGAGTGTCTCCCCACTTTTAGGCTAGGCTGCTTTCCCAATCACAAACCGAGAACAAGGATAATTAGAGGTTTGGAGTAGTATGCTTCCTCAAGACACTGATTAAAAAAATAATTGGCATCTCTAAAGCACGTTCTGTGAGTTATCCTTGTACAGTTTTTGGACCATTTTAATAGATATCTGGTCCTTGATTTAATAAAGCAGAAAACCTGAGAAGCTCTAAGAAGTAGGTACACATTATCTGTTTTATAGACAGGTAATTTGGAGAATGCAATTTCTCGGCAATGGCTACGAGGTAAGTCAGGAGGATTACCTGATTATTAATTCAACTATTATAAATCCCTGCCCAGAACCTCGATCAGAACTTGAACACACATGTAATTAATGGAAGAGTTACTTGTGACTCCATTTTTGGATTAAATAAAAAAATGTTTAAGGTCCACAGATAAAAACAAGTGATGATACGTGCAAATCCATTAGGGACTGAAAATGCTGATATTTTAATTTTGTTATTCCTTCTTCAGGCACTAGCTGACACACTTTTACAGAGAAATTTCCTCGTTATTTACTAGTTTGCTTATCCAGAGGTAAATTCAAACCCTCTAATCCCAGGACTGGTTCCTTTGGCCACCACTCCCCATTCTGAGGCTATGTAAGAATGGTGTTTACATTTTTAAATAGTTGTTAAAGAAAAAAAAAAAAGAGTATTTCATGAATGTGACATTTTAGACCAATAGCTAAATGCAAAGAGAGACAACAACCAGATATTATGCGCCTTCTGATAGGAAAATACCAGCCTATATCCGACCAACCCTCTAGACCTAAATACCAATTTATAGGAAATAAAGAGAATCATGGAACATACACACAATACCACCACCAGAATTTAATCAGCGAAGCAAGGGTACAAGAAACGCTAAAGAGAAAGAACTGTGTTGAGAGAGACGGTGAAGAGACCGAAAGAGATTTGAAAAGACGTAGCAACCAACTGCACTGTATGGGTGACATCTGAATCATGATTCACGCTCAAAAAAATCATGACACTCGAGACAACTGGAAATGTGAACACTGGTAATTGACCATATTAAGGAAGTATGACTCATTTCTCCTAGGAGTGATAATAATAA